CATAGACAATGTTTTTAGTTAGTTGCACCTTTATCCCATCCTCTACCTCTCTACTTTGATTCAAAATCAAAAGTGGTGAGACAAAGAGTTTAGTTGTCCTGATGAGTGAAACAGTTCAGAGTATAGACAGGACAACTTTTGGAGTGATCTAGAAAACTGTTCCTTAAAGAAAGAATTGAGGGATTGGTAATGGCTCAGCAGGTAAGACTTCCATGTGTACACACATACTCTCATGGTAGACAAATAAGCATAATTTAAAAATTATTTTTAAAAGATGGAATTGAGGAGATTTACTGGGATGGGAGGGTGTAATTCTGTAGTTTCTAGCAGTGTAGAACTGCCTTCTGTACACAGGCATACTCAACTTCACTGTTCCTGAGCATCTCTGCTCTAGCTAGTCCCTGTTTCTCCCCACTCCCAACCAGCCTGGCTGGCAGTTTCTGTGTGCTCAGTGCCTTGGTTTAGGCTACCACTTACAGCTTTAGCAGCTTCTTAGCCAGCTACCTGCTCACATCCTCCCATCAACCTGATATCCTAGTCTTTAGCTCTCTGCTAGAAGGCCTTTCCGTCCCTTTGCTCAGCCTATCACTGTCTTCCTAAGGATACCATTCAGTGCCTCCCTTCTCTGGTTGGGGTTAGACTATAGGAATCTGGAGACTGAGTGCATGCTAGTCTCAGCTCCCAATAGATACATTTCTTGCTGTAGAATTTTTGCTTAGGCTCGGGGTGTGAGGAGGTAGGATGGAGTATGGGAGCTACCATAGTGCTGCTGGGCATCTCACAAACCAGGGAGCCCAACATAAGAAGAGTAGTACAGTGTAGAGGGATTCTTCAGTTCTGGAGGTGAGTAGGGTGGAGGTCCCAAAGGGTTCATTCTTGGGGATCCTGGGGTATGGTACTGACTCATGTCAATCAAACAATAATAAGCTCATGAGCAGAGTGCTGGTCTCATCTCGGAAGACCAAGTTTTCTAGAACTCAAGAGTGTAGACTCTGACCTGCTAGCACTTAGTGTGTTCTGCTCTGGGTTATTTAGCTCTAGTGGCTGTTTATATTTTAAAAAACAAAAGCACTTATCTGTGAAGACTCTTGGAATTCTGCATTGAGAAAAAAGGACCATTAAGAAGAGGAGGACAGCCGGGCGGTGGTGGCGCACGCCTTTAATCCCAGCACTTGGGAGGCAGAGGCAGGCGGATCTCTGTAAGTTCGAGACCAGCCTGGTCTACAAGAGCAAGTTCCAGGACAGGAACCAAAACCACAGAGAAACCCTGTCTCGAAAAACAAACAAAAAAAAAAAAAAAAGAAGAAGAAGAAGAAGAGTAGGAGGAGGAGGAGGAGGAGGCGGACACATTGGAAACCAGGGGAACAGAGTGATGCTGTTGGAGATAAAGACTTTGCACCAAATCTTGGCCTGAAGGAGGGGAAAGCAGGTGTATGAGAATGTTTCTCCTCTATACAGGAATAGCCATGTCAACACAAGAGCTCTTGCCAGTCTCTGAAAAATAAGGTGAACACACAAAACTGTGGCACCACTTGTGAATATTCTGGATCCTTTCTTGGTTTCTCTTCCAGTCTGCAAATAAGAAGTAAGAGAAGTTTGACTGGCGACCCTGAAGGTAGTTTTATGGGGGAAGGGTTAGAAGCATTTACTGTCAAGCCTGATACCTGAGTTCAGTCCCTGGTGTAAGGAGATGATGGGATGAAGGATGGGACTGCCATGGTGCTCCTGAACACCTCACAAACCAGAGAGTCCAAATATAAGAAAATAGTACAGTACAGTGCGGAGGGGATCTTCAGTTCTGGAGGTGAGTAGGGTGGAGGAAAGGCCAAAGGGCTATCACATGGTAGAAGGAGAAAATTGACTTGGATAAGTGCTCCGCTGATCTCCTTGTGCATACATATAGTGGCGCACGTGCATGTGCACACATGCACACATACACATAGCCTGGGCTGTGGTGGCTTTAATACTAGTTCTCAAGAGCCAGAGGCAGGCAGATCTCTGTGAGTTCGAGGCCAGCCTGGTTTCCAGAGAGTTCCAGTATAGCTAAGAGTACACAGAGAAAACCTGTCTCAGGGAAGTTACTACCTTCGGGATGGACGTGGGGAGGGGGGGGTAATGTAAAATAGGAATAACAACAAAATCTTAACTCACAAATGAAGGTGTACAGGCAAAGCATAGTGATGTGTATTTGTAGTTCTAGGCCCTTGGAAGGCTGGGGCTAGAGGAGCTCTTGAGCCCAATATTTTAGGGATATCCTGGGGTCTGGGTGAGACCCTTCTATACTTTTAGAAGTAGGGCACGGTAAAAAATAGAGGTGGCAGCAACTAAGCTTAGATGCGGTGGCATATACCTGCAATCTCAGGGCTTGGGAAAGAGTCAAGAAGACTGCAAGTTCAAAGCTAACTTCAGCTACATAGAGGGGACGGGGCAAAGAAAGAGGAAAACAACAATAAAGTGCCACTCCACATCTCTTTGTGTGACAATAAAAAAATATTGACAACTTTAAATGCAGATAGCACTGAAGCAACAGGAATGTTCATTCATTGTGGAGGAATGCAAATGGAACTTAGGTTGGGCAGTGTTGCAGTTTGAATTTGAAGTACTCTCTACAGGGCCTGGAAAGATGGTTTAGTGCCCACATCCAGGAGCTCACAACAACCTATATAACTCTGGCTCAAGGATCTGGTGTCCTCTTTGGCTTCTCTAGCTACCCACACATACGTGTGCATATATGCACACACAAGAAAAACCTTTAAAACTTTGCCCTCCACAATTTCGTGTTCAAACTGGTGGCTCTGTTGGGGGACTGAAACTTTTAGGGCCTGGCTGGTGGCAGGAAATCACTAGTAGTGGGCCTTGCAGGTTTTAGTCTGGTGCTACCTCTGCTCTCTCTGTTTCCTTATCTCCCTTAATGTGAAGTGTAGATGAACGCGATAAAGTGATAAAGTAGTCCCACACTAGCTCAGAATTGAGTATAATAAAGGGTTTTTAATTTGGGATAGATTTACAGATTAGCAATCCTCTGCACAAGAAGGGAACAGGAACCAAATCCAGCAGCAGAGAGAGAGAGGAGGAGGGAGTGGAGGTAGAGGGAAAGGAAGAAGGAGAGAGCACACTCAGTTTTACACCTGTTTTTTATAGTACCCAAGGCCATGCCCAAAGTGGTCCAGCATCTCAAAGGCTATTGGCTGAAGGAGTTCGCCTAGCAGTGGAGTGTGAGCCAAATAAACCTTCTTAAGTTGTTTATCTCAGGATTTAGTCACTGTAATGAGGAAAACATAGGCACTTTAATATAAAACCAGACTCATAACATGAACCAGCAATGGTGATCTTTACTCTTTATTTTGTTATTGTTTTTTTGAGACAGGGGTTATCTGTGTAGCTCTGGCTGTCTGGAACTCTGTAGCTCTGTAGACCAGCTTTCTGGCCTTGAATTTAGAGATCTGTCTTTCTTTGCCTTCTGGGATTAAAGGCATGTGCTTCACCGCCCGACTTTGTTCTTTTATATCTGGACAGAAACATACACAGAGATGTCATATTATCCTGGAAAAAAACACTCAGAAAGCTACTGTCTACGTTTATTCAGACTGCTCTAACAAATTACTGTCAAGTGAATGGCCTATAAACAACAGAAACATTTCTCCAAATGCTAGAGAGATCCTGAGAAACATTAGTTCAAATCATTGATAGATTCAGTGATTGATGGTTCCTGTTTCTTGATTCTTCCTCATACATTAAAAAGGACATGTCAGCTCTCTGGGGTCTCTTTCATAGGGACTCCACATCCTGACATGGCGTGCATGGGCAGGTGTTTATATACCAGTGTGGGAGGTTTTGATACTAGAGATTGAACTGGGACCTTTGACATGTTCTGCCACTGATCATAGTCCTGATGATTTTATTATTAGTGTGTGTGAAAGAGAACAAGTGAGTTAGAGAGTAGGGGACATAGTTGCTATAGCACATGGAATTTTGTGAAGTCAGTTTTCTCTTTCCACCATATGGTTCTGAGGTTCTAACCGAAATTGTCAGGTTTGTGCTGCAAGTATCTTTACTCACTGAACCATCTCATCAGCTCGCTCATGATTTGTTTTTAATGGGTGAATTTGGGGAGGACATACACATATGACTCAAGTTCTAAGATATAACTATGCAAAACCCATAAAATGAATAACTTTCAGTGGTAAACCTAGTAGGAGCTATAGCCTCCAAGTGATACAGAAGTGCAGTGTAGGTAGGTCAGTGGATGGTAACATTTTACTCTGTTAATGAAGAATCTTAATAGTGAGGGAAGAGTTGCATATTGAGAGGAAATTAGGTCTCTGGTTCCCCCCCCCCCACTACTTTCAGCTTTACTGTTTAAGCTGCTCTAAAAAGAAAAGAAAAGTCTACTTTTTTTATTTGTTTCTACTGCTGGAAAGAGTCTCTATGGCCAAGGCAACTTATAGGAGAGTAAGTTTATTGGGGCTTACAGTTCTAGTGAGTGAGTCATGACCATCATGGGAGCAAGGCTGCAGGCAGGCAGGGTGGGCAGGGGGTAGGCATTGGAGCAGTAACTGAGACTTTACATCTGATTCACAAGCATAAGGCAGGAGAGATAACTGGGGATGGCATGGACTTTTGAAAGCTCAAAGCCCATCCCTAGTGACACAGCTAACCCAACAAGGCCATACATACCTCCTATTCTTTTCCCGACAGTTCTACCAACTATTCAGACAAAACATTCAAACTTGAGTCCATGGGGGCCTTCTCATTCAAACCACCACACTACTGAAAAAATAAGGCTATTGTGACATTGACTTCGGACCTTTTCGAAGTTTACTGAGCATCTTACCTAGAAATACTGGTTGGTTGTTGGATTACCTTTTGTATGGCAGGACTTCAGTTGATGTACCATTGGGAATAATTAATGAAAAGTTAATGCAGCCCTGACTTGGCCATAGGTATGTGGATTACAATATCTTCATTTTGATCTGTTTCCCCCTCTTTTTTTCTTTTAGGACAACCCTCCATATGACAAGGGGGCCTTCAGAATTGAAATCAACTTTCCAGCAGAGTACCCATTCAAACCACCCAAGATCACATTTAAAACCAAGATCTACCACCCTAACATTGATGAGAAGGGGCAGGTCTGTCTGCCGGTAATTAGTGCTGAAAACTGGAAGCCAGCCACCAAAACCGACCAAGGTGAGCCACGCACCTTTCTTCTTGCTGCCTTAGAAGGGGCTCTTTTCTGCTAATGGGTGTCAAAGGTTCTCTAAAACCCTGTCAGGCAGAGTTGAGAGAAATACTGCCATAGCAATTCAAGTGCATGTAGAAGTACTGCTGAGACCCTCACCCCCACCCCCATCCTGTGGGCTGCCTGCTCTCGGCTGAAGTGTCAACTGTGCATGGGCACTGGCCTGGGGTGGTAAAGGATTCTGATATTGCCTAGATGGGAAAATGAGGATGGTGGATGCACACAACAGTTAGCTTTTGAGATCACTTAGAAGAAAGGTTAGTGAGGACATTCCAGACTAACAGAAGGACTTATGCCAAGTCCTGTAGCTCCCAGTAAGTGGTTTGGGGGTTCAGGACAAGACAGTCAGATTTGGGTACTTGGGTGGAAAGCACATAGTTGACTGCAGTGTCTGTGATTCTTAGAATTAGATGCTCGTTTTCTTAGAAAAGTATTTTATTCTGTGTCACAATTGTTTTCTGTCTTGTCCCTTTCTTGCTACTTCGAGTAGACTTTGCTTGGATTTTGTCTAGTATTACTCATATACTTACTTAGATTTTATGAAACAGGTCTTGCCATAAGCTTTCACATTGTCCTGGAACTTGCTCTGTAGAGCAGGCTGGCCTCAAACACATGATGCTTCTACTTAAACCTCCAGAGTGATTACATGAGTGCACCGCCACACCTGGTTCCAGTTTTTATACCAGACTTGCTTTTGAAGTTCTACTTTCGTATTTTTGGTGGCTTTCTACTAAGTAATTAATTGAAGCAATGTAACATTAGGTTAGATTCCAGCAAGTGAATGGAGGTGGTGTTCGTGAGATTGCAGGTGGCTTTTCCTTACTGGTGGAAGCCCTGGAAGACTGAGAAACCTGACTATTCGAAGGAGCAGATGCTAGATGTCTAATCAGAGAGTAGTTTCTAGCAGGATTCACCTGCGCAGCGCATGAAAGCACTGCTATTAGGACAATTTGACTGAATTCTCAGCTCGAGTGGCCTGATTATTTTCCTGTACAGACTCTTAGCTCTGTGTTGGAATCTGACCTTCACTGTGTCAGTAATACAACTTCCAGAGACTAGGCTGAGTTGAGTCCCTACTCAGTCACCTCTACTCCAGGCCCTCTGACACTCACCAGTTTAGAGTCTCTTCCTTTACCTGAGAACTGATGGCATGAAGGCCAGGGCTAGGAGACTCTCAGGCCGTCCTATTTTATCTTCACATCTAGATACATAACCTGCTGCCATTTCAGGTTGGGGCTATGCCTCCAAAGAGTCAGATAGGTTAAGACTAGTTTTCCTTTTTGGGTTTTCAAGACAGGGTTTCTCTATATGGCCATGCCTGACCTGGAACTCTCTCTGTAGACCAGGCTGGTCTCAAACTTACAGAGATCCTCCTGCCTCTGCCTCCTGAGTGTTGGGATTAAAGGCGTGCGCCCCACTGCCCTGTAGTTCCAGGTAGTTCTTTTTTTTTTCTTTTTTTAATTATTATTTTATTGTTTATTGGGGAAAAAAATTTCCACCTCCTCCCAGCCTCCCATTTCCCTCCCCCTCCAGGTAGTTCTTTTATAAAATATTCTTATTCGTTATTAAGAATTTCTTTTCAAGTATAGTGACAAAATTATTGTTTTTGTGATTTGGGACAGCTTAGGACTTCTTCCTAGAAAACCAGTTGCTTGTTGTAGTCTTTGTAACGTGACTTTGATTCTGTCCTCTAAATCAGTAATAGCACTCGATGCCATATTTTCCTATTTTCTGTTACCTGTGGCGGTATCATAACCCCTATTGAAACTCCAGCCATGGTTTGCAACTGGAGAGATAATTCACTGGAAGCTGTTCCAGAGGACCTGGAGTCAATTCCCATCACCCTTATGGTAGTTCACAACCGCTTGTAACTCCAGTTCCAGGGGCATGTCTTCTTCTGGCCTCCAAGGGTATAGGTTCCTACACAAACATACATGTAGAAACAACTCTAATCACATAAAAGTAGGGACTCCTTTAATCCCAGCACTCGGGAGGCAGAGGCAGGCGGATCTCTGGGAGTTCGAGACCATCTGGTCTACAGAGCTAGTGCCAGGACAGGCTCCAAAGCCACAGAGAAACCCTGTCTCGAAAAACAAAAACAAAACAAAACAAAACAAAAAAGTAGGGACTTAAGAGATGGCTCAGTAGATAAGAGCACTGACTGCTCTACCAGAGGGCTGAGGTTCAATTCCCAGCACCTGCATGGCAACTCACAGCTGTCTCTAGCTTTAGTTTCAGGGGATCCAACACCTTCACACAGATATACATACAGTCAAAACACGAAGGCACATGAAATAATTATCTTTTTTTTAAAGTTAACTAATTGAGATAAAATGGAACAGGGCTTAAAGTAACAGTTTATTGCTCATTCTTTATATTGGTTGTCTCAAATGGGGGTGATTATTCTTGGAATACCCAGATACTCTCATTGGAGGTAAATTGTCCCACTTGGCATCCTTCACGTGTGGCAGTTGGTGCTGGCTGGGTACTTAGCTTTCTTTGTGTTGCTTATTCTCCATGAAGTGGGTTGGAACTCTTCATAGCAGTGGTGGAGCTCTAGTTGAAAGCAGAAGCAACAAGCTATTTACAAGTCCATGTAGAGCTAGTACTATTATTATTGTGTCCCTTCTGGATTCTATTGGCCAAACAAGTACAGTCTTGAACAGGGAAGTAGACTGAGTCTTAAAGGAGTTGAGGCAGGATATTGAGGGTGGGAGAGGTGGGTACACAGGCAGAGGAGGAGCCACTGGCACTGAGTTCCTTACTGTCTCTACATGCTTTTTCTTTTTTGTCTTCTTTTAAATGTGTTTGCTTGCCTGAATGTATATCTGTACACTATATGCATGCAGTGTTGAGGTTGGAAGATGGCATCAAATCCCCTGGGACTGGAGTTACAAATGCTTTTGTAATGCCATGTGAGTTCTAAGGAACTCAGGTCCTCTCTTCAGCCTCCGTCTCTCTACATACTTATGTGTGTGGCACTATTGTGGCCACATGGCAGATGCTATTGTGTTCATTGTCTTTTGTTTGTCCTATTTCCTGACTCTGTTCCAGCCAGCACCATCTTTATCATCTTGTTTTTAAATGTCTTGCAGTTCTGCATTTCCTAAAGTTGTGAAGTGAATGCATCACTTGTTCCTTAATAGTATCTGCTTGTGGTTTCATGTCAGTCATCCACCATATACAGCCTTTTGTTGATCTCTAGATTCTCTTAAAGAGTTTTTCTATTTAGAGAGCATCAAAGTTGTGTTGTGTTATTATGTTTATGCCTTCGTGTATGTCTGCACATTGTGCGTGCCTGGTATTTAGAGAGGCCACAAGGGAGTGTTAGATCCCCTGAAGCTAGAGCTGCCATCTAGGTGCTGGGAGAAGAACCCAGATCCTCTGGAGGAGCAGCCAGTGTTCTGTGTGTGTGTGTGTGTGTGTGTGTGTTTGGTGTTTTTTTTTTCCCCCCCGAGACAGGGTTTCTCTGTAGCTTTGGTGCCTGTCCTGGAACTAGCTCTGTAGACCAGGCTGGCCTCAAACTCCCAGAGATCCGCCTGCCTCTGCCTCCCGAGTGCTGGGATTAAAGGCGTGCACCACCACCGCCCGGCCACAGCCAGTGTTTTTAACCACTGAGTCATCATATTCTCCTGTCCCTCTAAGTTGTGTTTTATTAGGTATGGAAAATAAAAATGATAAGATTGGGGGCTGGAGCCGGGTGATGGTAGCACACGCCTTTAATCCCAGCACTCGGGAGGCAGAGGCAGGCGGATCTCTGGGAGTTTGAGGCCAGCCTGGTCTACAGAGCTAGTTCCAGGACAGGCTCCAAAGCCACAGAGAAACCCTGTCTCGAAAAAAAAAAAAAAAAAAAAAAAAAAAAAAAGATTGGGGGCTGGAGAAATGGCTCAGTAGTTAAGAGCATTTGTGCTTCCAGAGGACCTTGGTTCAATTCCCAGCATACATATGGTGGCCACCAAATCATCTTTAGCTATAGTTGCAAGAGATCCAGTGCCCTCTCAGGCATCCATAAACACTATATACTCACAGTGCTCAGACATATGTGCAGGAAGAATACCCATACACATAAAATAAAAATAGATAATTCTTTTTTAAAAAGAAAAGAAAGTTAAGACTGTTGACAGGAAAGTTAAAATGTTCTTAGTGTGGGAGCTGGAGAGATGACTCAGTAGTTCTTGAGTTCAGTTTTCAGCAGGCACATTCGGTGACTGTCAGCCATCTGCAGCCTCACAGCTCCGGCATCTGATACAGATCCCCAAGGTCACCTGCACAAATGTGTGCATTCTAACATGAAGACACAAATTAAACATAGTGGAAAAGCAACTTGAAAAAAAAAAAAAAGCTCTTGTGATCCAGCAGGTCAACTTTGAGTTGTATATGCCCCCCAAAATGAAAGCATGGATTCATACAAATATTATTATTAATTGCATCTGTGTGCATGAATGTATGTCGCGACATGCATGTGGAGGTCAGAAGACGACTTAAGGGAGTCAGTTCTCTTCTTACCCATGGGAATGCCAGGATTCAAGCTTGGAGGAAAAGCTTTTATCTGGCAAGCAAGCACCCCTCTGTCCTGAAACACTTGTATTACTGTTTATTGCAGCTAGGCACAGAGGAAAAGCAACTCAAATGGATATACACACTGTGGTATCTAGTCTGCTTTCTTTTGCTGGGACAAAGACTTTGTGACCAAAAGCAACCTGGGGAAGAAAGGGTTTGTTTCAGTTTACAGTTTATAATCCGTTATGAAGGGATATCAGAGCAGGAACCTGGAGGGTAGAACTGAAGCAGAAGTCAGGGGTGGTGGCACACACCTTTGGTCCTAGTACTCTAGAGGCAGAGGCGGGCGGATCTCTGAGTTCCAGGACAGCCAGGGCTACCCAGAGAAATGGTTTCAAAAAAAAAATTAAAAAATAAAAAGAATTGGGGGCTGGAGAGATGGCTCAGTGGTTAAGAGCATTGCCTGCTCTTCCAAAGGTTCTGAGTTCAATTCCCAGCAACCACATGGTGGCTCACAACCATCTGTAATGAGGTCTTCTGGCCTGAAGACATACACACAGACAGAATATTGTATACAT